AGAGAGACAGACAGACAGACAGACATGCAGCTCTCAGCTGGGTGTAAGTCCAACATGGAGGGAGAAGAGGAATGCCATTGACCATCTGTGTTTCCAAGGTGAGGGGGCCGTGTGTGTGTGTGTAAATGACCACTGACTACTGACATGCTGGCTGTATGGCTTCTGGGAAATGGGATGTGCTCTGAACTAGAATATATGTCTTACTGTGGAAGAGAAAGAGCCCCTGGGTGTGCACTCAGTTTGCTGCTAACCAAAAGGCTGGAAGTTTGAGTCCACTCAGAAGAGCCCAGGAATAAAGACCTGGTGGTAGTTCCACACAAGCTGTCACGGAAAGCCCATGGAGAACACCTCTCTCTGACACAGGAGGCCCCCATGAGTCAGAGCTGAAGGAATGGTAACTGGTTTACAGGCGGTGGAAGAGAAAACCAAACCCAACGTTCTGAAGAAGCCAGCTAGCTGCAGACAGGCAAAGAAAAGCAACGTTGACTACACAGCAGGAAAGGATGGCTCCTCAAGGTTTTAGGGACTTTGAATAATCCTGAAAGCAATGAATGAAGCACCACAGCACACGACAGAGGCAGACAACGTAAGATCATTCTGGCTACATAAGTGGGAAGGCCGGGGCCCAGGATCGGTCAGTCACCATTACAGAATACTAACTGAACTTGCCAACCAGAATGCCACCGGAGAGGGGGTCATTGAGTGAAGGGTCTTGATTTAAAAAAAAAAAAAAAATTCACTCCTGTCAAGTCAATTTAAACTCATAGCAACCCCCCACTGGGTTTCTCAGGTGGTACATCTTTAGGGAAGTACATTGTCCGTGGAGTGGCTGGTGGGTTTGAACCACCAACCTTCTGGTTAGTAGACAAATGCTTTAGGCACTGTGCCACCAGACCTTCTTTTGTTCTGGGCCAGGGAGGCTAGTCCTTAATTGTTTTCTTTAAAAGTGCTATATAAAAGGGCATTAATTTTGTTTAATACTTTGAAAAATTGCTATCAACAACTATAGAGGAAAGAAAATAAAAAAACAGTATATCTAATATTTAAGAAGTATATCTTTTACCTATATGTAATTTACATAAGGAGTGCTGGTGGCACAAAGGGAAAGCTTTGGACTGCTAAGTAAAAGGTTGCTGGTTTGAACCCACCCAGCAGCTCCATGCCAGGGAGACCTAGTGATCAGTTCTGGAAAGGTCACAGCCTCAAAACCCTTACACAGCCATTCTACTCTGTTACCAGGGTTCACTATGAGTCGGAATCAACCACACAGCAACTCAAACTCCACCACCACATACAATACATAAGTAACTTATAAATAAACAAGTAAGTAAATGTATAGAAGTAAATTACAGGAACAATATGTATAATTTTTAATAATTTGGTATGGAGCTCTGGTAGCATAGTGCCTAAAGCACTTGACTGCTAGCCAGAAGGCTGGCGGTTCAAACCCACCAGCCACTCCTCGGAAGGAAGGT